TTGATTAAACAAAGTTAGGTGAATTTTTGTAATACATTCTATGTTTTAAAATATATTTTATATTTTAAACTATCTTCTTTTATTTTAAAAAAGAATTACTGCAACTTATTCAGCTGGTGTTCAGACAGTGGGCCAAACTCCTTACTGGTTTGGTAGCCAATCGAACTTTGATAGCACTAGTTATAATAGTAAAAACATAGGTGCAAAAAGCAATTCTCATGTATTAATTAGGAAAGGGCTTAAATCTAGATGATCAGGATGTTGGATTACCACAACATGATGTCTTGAGTTCCATTTCTACCTCAGAAAGAGAGCTCCATCCTCACTGAACTACAAAAGAAATAGTGGTTGATGGAATATAATATATCAATTATGAGAAAGGAAATGCAAGAGGCAGTTTCTTTCTGGTTTTACTTCTTTTTTACTTCTATTTCAATATTTAATTGAAGGAACAATGGAAATGAAATATAGGTATAATGATTAGTGTCATAAATGTAGTTACTTGGCTAATTTTGGACCAATGAGTTTTTGTTTTCTCATCCTTTTTTTGTTTCATTGGGCCAATTAGTAGCATAAAGCTTTGTAGCATAAAGCTTGTTGTTCATAAAATTAAACTGAAAACTTTGGGGCTTCCTTAAAGTCCCCTAGTTTTGAAAAGTGATCCTAATGTCCATCTTCATTCATGGAAGGTGGATATTAGTGTTTGGCTTTGGGGACTCGGAAAGCCCAAGTTTTGAATGATCTCTCTTTTCTTCCTGCCTTTGGATCGATTTCTCCAAAACTACATGGTAAAAATTTGCAGATAAGCTCCTCACTCAATCCTGTAATTGTTATTATAACTACAAGAATGAAGAGTGGATTGAAGCCCACATGTAGCTTAAAACAGATACTCCTGCAGGATGACCGTTGGTCAATCAAATATCCGTAACTCCATGGATTTATAATTGAAACTCGAGACAAAATGACCTCAACTCAAGTCCCCGCAAGTCTCTGAAGAAAAATAAGCATGAAAGCATGAAAATATATCCGAAACAATACGGAAAAGTGATGATACAAGAAGACCCAAAGCTCCTGAAAACTATAACTAACTTGCTCTTTTGATAAGAAATGAGACAAAAAGTTAGTTTTTCACCTTGCGATGATCTAAAATTTTCGTTTTCCACCATTGGTCAGGAATCTTGAATTCAAGGTAGTGAAGTTATGACAAGATCAAACCGAGGATACAAACGAAGCCCAATGAAGTGCTATGTCAAATAAGTCCTGAAGCCATAGTTTTTGTAATGTTTTGCCCTTGATAATGATTCAATTTAGACTAAGCTTTGAGTAGGGAATCAACAGGTAGAAATTGGGTTGAGAAAATTGAAACAAATAGGGAGTTTTAGTGAAACACAGCCAAAAGTCACAGGTCTTAGATTTCCAAAGCAAAAAATGTAATTAAGAGAGTGAAGGATCAAACAAAAAGATGAGACAAAAATGAGATATTTCAATTTAAAAAGGGGTTGATCAAATAGCAAACATAGATGAATGGTGGCAAAGCTTTGTTTGTTTTATGCACAATTAGTAACTTGAAAGTACAATAAAAGCCCTCCATAAAACTCTCTTCTGAGGTTCCACAAAATCAAAGAAAACTTATAACTTTTTCCATATCTTGCCTTCAATTAAACAAAATGTTCAAGCAAAGCGCATACAATACTGGGTTTCAAGCACCCCCTTTAAAATACTTATTTTTGGTGCATTTTGTTTGGTGAATGATTGTACCACAATTATAAATATAAATACCATATGCATTGCGTTTATGGTAGATTTATTTTCCCTTGAAGCAAGAGTTAATAAAGGGTTAATTAATTCCTAACCGACGATGCAATAGGAAACAAACCGAAGCCAAAAGGTTTCATGCTCCTGTCGGAGCATACTTTCCAATTACTACCTCAAGAAAAGCCCAATCTAGGAGTAATTGTACGAACCCAAATTTTAGGGATGTATTCTCTTCAAACCATAGAGTAATCTTAAATTTTCAAGTCTCACTCTGTGTGCACTTGAAAAAAATAATGTCTCATAAATGAATGGAGATAGTCCAATTTTTTATGGTGAGATCTAACGATTAAATCCCTTAAAATTTAAATTTTACATTTCAAAAATAATCTAGTCATTCTTTGGTGCTCAAAATATTTTAGATTGAAAAACTTCCTCCCAAATCGGTCATATGCTTGAGGGATTAGGTGTATAGTATACTCCCGGAGGAGCATAGTATACCAGCTCCAAAGCCAAATGCCAATGCGGGCAAAAAACACAATGCCTATGCAACATATATATTTTTTTGGCTTCTGTTAGAATTGAAAACAAAGTAAAGCCTCATCATGAATCCTCATTTCAAAGCGTTTTGGACATCTGAAATTTCTCTAAAATCAATTTCCAACACCACCTATTGAAATTTGAACACCACCTATTGAAATTTGAAGCTAAAAAAAAACTACAGATCTTACATATCCTTGAACACTTATTTTTATAGTGAAATGAACTGTCTAGATAATGTGTTATAATATACATTATTTTTAGGGTTTGAAATCCTAATTTATTTTCACAACCATGATGATCAAGACAGAGATGATCGATTTGAAGGTTTTCTAATGCTAGAAATGTAATTTTCGATGAGGTTTGAGGTGAGGCTTTACTTATTTTGTTAGGGCCACAGCCCTTTCAAAACATTTTACAAATGTTTAAAAGGTTAAGGGCACATATATTATGCTCCCTTGGGAGCAATACTACCTACTCCCTCAATCATATTACTACTTGGGAGGATTCTTTCAATTTAAACTTTTAGGAATCGCCTAAAAATCACTAGATGATTATTTTCAATAGATACAAATCTAAATTTTAAGTTTTTTTTAAGACTTAGATCTCACCTTAAAAAAATTGGATGGTCTCTATTCAATTTTGAGTCATTATTTTTTAAGTGCAAAGAAAGCGAGACATGGAACTTGTTTTTATAAATATTAATCGATGAGTTGAAGAGGTACATCCCCAAACTTTGGAGTAAATAAACAATCTGCTCCCACGGGAGCTATAAACATAAATACTAAAATTTTCCACGTAAAGAAAAGCAAGAACTCGTTTCCATTCCAACTAGAAGTTTGAGAGAAAAATGTTCAGGTCCTAGTACTGGGTTTTCCCTCTTCTCTCCTGTAAATGAAAAAATAATACGTTAACTTGTAAATCTTTGTTTTTCAATAGTTCTTACACCAGCATTGAAATTAAAGATACCCAAAAATTTAAGAGAAAAACACTGGTGAATATTGGAGATAAAGATGAAAACATTTTGTCCGGGATCAACTCTTGGCTTTGCGGCCTGATCGCTGAGGGCCACAACACTACGTTTTAAGTTCGCATCCCCGATAAACTACCCATAACAAGTCGAAATAAAGAAGAAAGGAATAATTTACAAATTTTTTCATGGTTTCTGAAAAATAGTAGAACTTCCCAAAACTCTTTCATACTTTTCTTAAACCCGGATCAGTGTGGTGGTTTATGGTTATCGAGCTTGTCTAGTGAGACATTAGAAGCTATTGAAACAATTGATTATATTCAATAACTAACTAATTATATGAGTTTGGATAAGGGATTATGTGAATGACTCTTCTCTTTGCTCAATAAGCCCCTTAGGTGCTTGATTACAGAAATTAGAACAAGTTGCCTTATTGGATTTGTCATCACAAATAGTTAAAATGTACAAGGTGCAAGAAACAATGTCTTATAATCTATGCTTTAATCAAACTGACCAAAGAGAAGAAAGGAACCTGACGTGGTTGAAGCATGTGCTGGACCTAAAATGTTTGCAGTCTCTAGTGTTCATGTTTGGTGTAACCTTTGTTGGTAGCAGCCACACAATAAAGGGTAGGGACTCTTTAAGTGTTGCAGCCATGAAAGTATCCAAATTTTTAATAATATCTAAAGGACAAATTTTAGATAAAGCCATAACTTTATAATATAAATGTAAGACGCATCTCAAAAACCTCAAAAAAGTTGTTTCGGCAGTGGAAAATCCTCCAGTTGTTCATCTTGACTTGGAGAAGTATGATATAAAAAGAAGGATTTCTAATCCTAAAAGTGGGGCATCACGTAACATATCATCCATATTGTATAAGACTTGAACATTTGCTCAGGATCATATGATCGATTAATTATATTTTTGAAGTTTAATTTTATAATTAGGAAAAAATATATCCACTTTTATGCAATAATAACAGTTTTCAGCATTAGAACTACATCTTCATGTAAGATTTAAGGGTATTTGATTGTTTTAAGATTCATGCCTTATATAAACTACATCATAACTAGAATGTATAAGAATTTTATAAAGAGTAATAGATCTAATTTTAAAAAAATATGAAAGGTGTTGGGCCACGCCTCACATACAGTTGGATCTAGCCCACAGGCGACCACTAGTGACCATCGGCGACCACAGGCAACCTGCATACGAGATCTTTGGCGACCTACGAGATACCACTAGCAACTTGTAACCCTACGGGCTTTTCCAATGAGTGACGATATATTGTCCTTTTTCTGGCGTCTATTTCTTATCTTGATTCATTTCAGCCTCATATTTGTGCTTGTGGCTGCAAATCTGTGGGCTTTCTGCTACACATCTAAGGCATGTGCTTTAGATATGAGTGTTTCTTCTCAGATTTGAAATTTTCTCGTATCTGAGCTCTGATCTATCTTTTTTCTCAACCACTTCCACCATGGTTTCGAACATGATTTTGTTCGGGAGCCCAATTGATATGCATGTAAATATCGCCACTTGGTAGAGTAATTTGAATCACGATCATGGATTTTTAATAACATTTGATGTCAAATATATTTATGCATTAATGAATGAAAACGTTATTCCTAAGAAACATATTGAATGTATGCCTACGTTTATCAATTCATGCAACCTCATTGATGAATAACCTATAACAATAATTATAGTACATGCAATAAATTGTTAAAGCGTGTAAGAATAAATGAAATAAAATACTTTTACATTCACGCCTATTTCATACAATACACTCCAAAGTCCATATTGAGATAAGGAGAATTAGTTTGTACCAAGATCTAGTTTAGCTTAGAGTAGTAATGAAAAATAATTCACAATAGAAGAAAAATACAATATGATTATGCATATAAGCATTGTACGAATGTGATTATCTTCAAATACACTCCTATTTGTAGGTCCAACTATGGGTCCCCCATTTGTAGGAACAACTACACGTCCATGGCGACTTTGATAATCTTGAAATTGTGTTACTGCCTCTTCTATAGTGGGGCAGGTGCAATGCATGGCATTTGAGTAGCCTACCACTTGTCTGGAGTTTTCTGCCCACGTCATATGCACCCTAGGGTTGCGGCCAATATATACTCTCGGAATTTTCTATAATATTGAGCAATGCATACACATGGGGAACATTAAAGCCATATTTTAAACATACACTCACTGATGATTACCTCCATAATAGATTAATTAGTTACCAAAACAGTAACAAAGTTAACATGTATTTCACATGCCAATACCAAACTAGAAAAGATCAACATAGCAACGAAAACTAGCACCATTATTGTCTCCGACAAAACAACATTAGTCAAGAATAGAACTACTTAATTTCAAGTAGTGCAACATTAGTCAAAGAATAGAACTTCTGCACATCACTCAACCCAAACGAATTCCAAGCAGATTCTCCAATGTTCCGAAATCCAATTCCCAAGTAAGGATATGCTAACAAAAATTTCTAAAATTATTCTTGAGATGGAACTCATTCAGCCTATAACTATAAACTCACCATATTGGTTGTTTAGAAGTATAAGTGTAAAGTAAGGGTCAGTGAGTAAATAAGAGTCTTAACGCAGTTCGCACTTCTCTTGAAGGTTGCCTATCAGCAAAGTACATAAGAGGTGCTTTTTCTAATTGGCTGATTGACCCAGGGTTCAATAGAACTCTGAAATCAAACCTTACCAGTTATATTGGGTACCAATCTTGCTTAGTCAGATTTAATACAAGTCTTCCTAAATCAATCAGAAGCTTAGCATTCTTATACTATCAAATCATCCAAGAAAAAGCATCATAGCTAATCCATCATTAATAACACTCACAATGATATCAAACAGAAAAAATTAACCTTCAAACACTACTATGATCAAGCAAAACTAGAAGTTAATAACCCATCAAACAAAAACATATGTAATTCTCCATCACCAAATTCAACTTAAAAAACAATTACACTATGGCCATCCAACATTGGGCATTTCAACCAAAAGTAGAAGTTATTAGCCCATCATCAAGTGAAGTATTGAGGACACAGTAATGGGGGAATTAAAGAGCACTAGTGCATCTATGGAGATGGTGATCAGCCATGCACACCACACACATCAAGAACATATTATCCTCTATCCTCTTCACTCATATTTAAGAATTATGTTGTCACATCCGCATCTTTGACAATTTCCTTAACTGCAGTCATTCTAGTTGTAGGTGTGAGCCCCCAGATCTTGTCTATGGCCTCGCCGACCTGAGCTGTGAGTGGATTGCTTGCTTATTTATTCATCATCACCCCCAGATTGTCTATGGCCTCCGCCATGACGTCAATGGAGTCGGTTAGTGTCATCTTCTTATTTGGCCCAACAACTGCAGTCCTGGGCACTCTGCCTAATGGACATGACTGTATCGCTGATTTAAGTACATCCTCCTCCTCATCCGGCACATCATCTATATTGATACCTAAATCCCTCATCGATATATCATTTGTTCCAATTGGGGCATGGCTTTATTCTTGACTCTCTTGTGCTAACATTGACAGGGTTCTGGCACTAGATCTTGTAGCAACTTCTTTGTTGATGATTATGTTAAGTGCATCGTAATAAGGGAATGGCTTTTCTTTCCAGCCTTTAGCATCTAGATGATTCTGTATTGGTAAGGTGTGAGATATTAGTACATGTTTTTTAGGCAACATAAAAAACAACTAAAATGTTAAATACAAAATTACTCACATCAACATAGGTATCACACACGTCATCATTAACAAACATATGGTGCCTGATACTGTCCCACCCAAAACCACTTTGATTCTTGATTTCCCTAACTATCAAGTAATTAATCTTTCAGGTCTTCAATTTATTCTTGAATTGGTCCCTTGTAATATCCATTCCAGGTGTCTTTAAGAACTCCCATTCGGCAGCGGCTCAGTGTAGGGGTTTAAAATCTTTGCTAGTTTATTGGCCTCCAAAGTCATTTCGGATAGGATATTCAATAATGTTATCTCAATTTTCTTCGTCTACATCAACCTTTTGGCCTTCGAAGAGGCTAATTGTGTCTCCACCACATCATTATCTATACTTAGTATAATAAAAGCTATCATAAAAAAACATACATACTACCAAAACGAGCAGTCACAACCTTCATACACTATCCCATAGAATATTAAGACTAAATCAATGTAACACATGAATTTCCTCATTGTTTATATATTAAAATCTATTTCAATACACAATCTTCAACATACACTTCATCAGTATCCATAACATAATAAAACAAATAAAGATGCATACATAAACCAAGTATGTGTCTTCAGGCATAGTTCAACATAACATTTCATACATTCAAGGGAAAAATACATACTCTAGGCACCACGATGCCTATATTTTTCCCACATGCTCTTCGCAATTTCTTCTCGAAATTCAAACCATTCATCCCTATCGCTTTGACTCCTCCCAAAGCCTCTGAATGTCGGTACATTAACACCATCATCACTGTCTCAGAGGACCTCCATCTCATCGTCTGGATGAGTACTATCAATACCCATGATAAAGTTGTGCAATATGAAACAAGCTATGAGTATCTTCAGTTGTATCTTCAATGCGTATGTAGCCGCGACTTTCAATAACGAAAATCAATTTCTTAAGACTCTAAAGGCTCGTTCTATAGCATTTCTTAAAGAGAAATGTCTTTTATTGAAAAGTTCCATGTAGTTTCGGTTCCCATGGTCACTACCACAGAAATCACCAAGTGATAGTGAGTTAAACGATAGGGGGATAGAAATCCTGCAGCATTTGGGTACTTTGTATTTAGTAGTTAGAATTTCCTACAAAAACACCATATTTATTAGCTCATTATATGGCTATGTGGATGTATAGGTGTGTTGGGTCAATTAGTAATGCCAATATATTTTTATCTGAAGGAACTCTAAGTGGGTCAGCATTTGATAAAGAAGAATACAAAATACGAGAATCTGATGCTAACCCTTCCCAACCGGCGAGGACATATACCTATCACATTATGAGATATGAATCCCTCTCAATTTCAATATGTGCCTTTCAATGCACAGGAAATAGTGGCTAGGATAGGAGTACCATTAATTGCTCTGATATAGTATTAAAAATTTCAAAAGGAACAAGCAAGCAATTTCAAGTTCATATGACTATACACTAATTAATAACAGAATGACATCGTAAGAATATGTTAAAAATACCTTAAAATATAGGGTGGTATCATCGTCTCTGGAGGTTTAATGAAATCCCTATGAAGGTCTGTGCATGCTTCCAAACTCGGTTGAAGTGTCAGCTAACAGTCTCCCCTGAACAGCCAAAATCATGATTGATCTTGCGATTCTTCAAGTTATGATTCAGAGTATGTGGGAACATCACTAGTTGTTTATCTAGTGATACTCCCATCTTGTCATTTGTCTTTTTCATTTTTCCAAGGATATTTCATAGGCTGAAGAACGCATCCCTACTCATACGAAGTTGGTCCCGATAATCTACCTCTCTATTTATTATTTTGAGGTGGTATCTGGTATCCAATGACCTACGTAGTGGACCCTTTTGTCTATGACTACAAGTAGCTAGAACTATAGATACCACACATAAAGTTGCAATATAAATAGCTATCATTTTCCTCTTCCTTTGTTGTTCATCAGCCTCATCCATTGCCCTCTGGCACAAATAATATGTACTCCCTAATTTCTATAAACACAAAGATATTCGCCATTTAAACTTCATTTGGAACAAACTAGAAACTATTGAAACAAGAACAATTATAAGATTTGCATGCATCATACAACAAAAAAAAACATCAAAATTGTTTGACGTTAACACTCAATTCTTTGATGTTTGGGACAAAAATCCAAGAGCAATAAGATATCTATTATGAGCACAAGATATCATGATCAACAATCAACTTAACATGTATGGAGGACCTTTACAATCAACTTAATATTTATGGAGGACCTTAATGGATATACATTGCTATCTCTATATCCACCTAAATACCACCAATTTCCAATTGAAGGAATTTGTTTTTTGTCCATATTTATAACAAGCACACAATCAGAGTGGCTTGCTAAGAATTAGGACGTTTTTCATTTGGAAACACTTGCACATACAAAACAAATTCACAATAGCCTAATATAATGTCAATGTTAGGAGACAGTTTTAATTTTGAACCGGCAAAAGGCACAACTATATTCATCTAACAAGTACTGTCCCAAGTGAAATATGACAAGAATCATGAGCAAAAAATCAGCATCTATAATTACAACAATTATATGGAGGACATTTAGAGCATAAATTACTGTTTGTATGTTCACTTAAAACCAACCAACTTCCAATAGAAAGAATTTTGCTTTCTGTCCATATATACAGCATGCACAAACGTACTATATGCTCTACTAAGGATACATAAATTTTTCATTTTGTAGATCCAAGTGCAGTAATATCCTACTCCAACTTTCACTTGTGATAAGCATAACTTAGAAATAAGTACCTACTACGAAAACCAGTCATTATATCCATACAGGTGTCTCCAATGCAAGAGATATGCTACTTATACTAACTTCTCTGAGTAAGTCACAGATGCTTATTGTAAACTACATGGTGACATTACAATTTTAAGTATGGTTCCTTATGATGCAATTATGCTACTTATAACACCTTATCCTAATAACTCAATAGAAATTTGAATGGTAAATCTACATAAAGATTGAGAACATTGTCTTCGAGAGCTCAAATCCTTGTATGGTATCTATGGCATTCCAATATCAAGTACAATAAAGATAGAAATTAATTGCATATAACCAAAAGCAAGTTACCAATCAATACAATATCACCAAAAAGCCTACAATATCACTGCAAAGACTAAAAGAAATACGATAATAAGTACAAAAACACCAAAAAGTTGCAGCCAGCATAACATCACAAAAAAAAATACAAAAATAGTACAATATCCGTTCAAATCTCACAACAAAAATAGAAAAATGAAAAGAGCACCTAATGCTTGAGGGGTTGGCATGATGGAGTGTTCTTTGGTTTGATTAGTAAGAAATATCTTGAACCTTGTACGGACTATCTGCAAGCTTGGAGATTAGGGCAGACACGGTTTCCTTGAGAGGGACTATGTTCAGATTTTGAGATATCTGAATTTTGAGGGTTGTAGGAGAGGAAGCTTTTGGCTTTGGAAAGGTGAGGTTTAACGATAGAGAGAGTGAGATAGCGGGGTTTAACCAGAAAAAGAGGGCTTATTAGAGAGAGAAGGGGAAGTCTATCCAGATGAAGATAGAGAGGGGGAGAGAGAGCGGGGCAAGAGGTTGAGAGAGTGATCGTTACAAAGGCTAGAGAGAGATGAGAGGTTGACAGAGAGTTGCAAAGGTTAGAGAGAGGCAAGGGAAAGCTTTATAGCTAAGGTTTTTTCTTCAACGAGGTTCGGGGACCTCAACGTGTGATTAAAATGCCGATTATACTTTTTTTTTTTTTTGGCTCTGACTGAGGCTCCATGAATAAGCCTCTCCGAAAAAAAGCCAAAGTGCCCTGTTAGTCGAATCCAACTTTTTGTGTTAAAAGGGCATATCAATGGTTTAAAAAACGGATCGGTGACCCTGATTGGGCATCCAAAAAATCGATCCGGATCGACGAATCGGCTATCTGGATCGAAAATAGGGTGAATCGGTCAGAATAAAACTTAAAAAAAATCCGAAAAAATTATTAAAATTCATTATAAATATTATTTTTTAGGAATTCAATAAAAAATGAGGGTACTACATTAAGAATTTTCATGTTTTTGAATGAATATGCGAATATTGATATGTTCTTTCCCTGCATGAACTGCCATTCAGCATTTAATTTACATCACACAAAAGGATAAACATAGAATTATCATGGAATAAGTATATCAATATACATGGACTACAATAAAGAATAAAATTAGTAACATATGATCTAAAAATAAAATAATAGACGACGTTATTGTTCTTCTTGATCACGCTGGTGCCATTGATTGAATTCGTTTAACAATTCATTGATTTGATCTAAAAACGAATCATCGATATTAGCAGGCGTCTGACTATTCCCAAATCCCTGAGTGTTAGTGTTTTGTTGTGTTCTCAATCCAAAATCCTCGAAGCTTGTTCATCCTTCATGCTCACCTGCACTGTCGTGCTCATCCCTACACTGTTGTTGTTGGGACTCGATATGTGAATAATATCGTTGGGATAGGGTGGCCTCAGAATCATCATCTCTCTCATTTTCTCTTTGAATAATATGGATTAAAAAAAATATTAACAAATTTTCAAAAAAA